GAGGTAGGGCTGGGGTTCACCACCTGCAATCACCCGCCCCAGGCTTTATCCCCCAGTGAAAAACGCTCCGGCAAATGCTCTGGCAGAACTCCCACGCGTTACTGCAGACACGGGGAGAAAAGGCGAAGTAAAGGGGAATTTTGCTACAGTTCAGCGGGGCTGAGCTTTCGCCCAAAAGCAAAGCAAAGCGGGAGAGGAACGGTGCCGCAGGGCCGGGGGCACAGGGTGAGCAAGGGAAAGTTTCGCGGAGCAGCAGGCAGGGCGCGATCTGGGACCCCCCAGCTTTCCCCCTGCTCCTCTCCTGGCCGCAGGAGCCGGCAGAGATTTGTTTGCCGATGAGTCAGGTGGAAGCCCTCGAGATTGCGGATTTGAAATACAGGCAACAGGGAGAGACACTGCTGCACCCCAGGGCGTATCTGAAAAACAGAACTTTTGACCAGCCTAAATCAGGTGGAAAACCAAGAGACGGCAGCCCGGAGCGCCTAGGGAGGTCTAAAAAGCTGTTGCTTCATTTCTCCATTCTGAAATAAAAGGAGCAGAGAGAAACAATAAAGGCAAGTTAGGGGAGGCTGGAGCCAGGCTACCAGCTTCGTCCTATGGCAAAACAGATGTGCACAGCCTGCAGGAGACCTCAGGGTTTGTGCAGAGCGATGTAGAGCTGGAACAGGGTTAAAGAAGGGAGAAGAGCTCCCGGTGTAAGCGAGCCGTGCCCTCCGCTGCAAAACCCTTGGGTCACAGCTCCTCATCAGCCTGTGACACCCCTGGGCTCCGCATTTCTGCTGAGTTGGGTCAGCCCATCCATGGATGAGTCGTCCCTGGAAGCACCTTTTTTTTGCCCTTTCTCCCACCTCCCAAACTTGTGCAGAGTTTTGCTTTTAAGCTTCCCTGTCCGGTTCTCCCTGCAGGTGCAGCGACCATCGGCCACCTCTGCTGGGGAAAACAACACAGATTTGCAAGGCTACAAGTGTGTGAGACCGAGGAGGGTGGCACATTTTACTCTATCTGCAACCTTAGTGATGACAGGAACTGCCAGCTCCAAATATAAAAAAACGGCAAATCGGTTACACGACATCCTTTAGGAAAAGCCTTTGCTCATAAATCACTGGCCTTCTGCAGGAACCGTGCTCCAGTCACAGATAAAATAAGAGCAGCACAGTCCCAAGGTGGAGGGAAATGAGAGAAGGGGAGATGGAAAAGATGGCAGAAGAGGAGAAAGCAAAGAGGTCAGTGAGGAGAAAACAACAGAGCAAAAGTCGGGCACTAACACTGCGCAGTTTTCTGCTGCGGCCAGCGCGGGGCTGAGCTCCCACGCAGCCCCCGGCATGTCCCAGTGCTGGGAGTGGGCAACGGAACCACTGGGGACCCTCCGAGCAGCCCTGGGAGAGCTGAGCTCACACAACCGGCGACAGCAAACCCCACCCCGAGCCTCCGTCCACAGACCCCAGCTCCTGAGTTGTGGTGGCCCTGAATTTGCCGGCGGCCCTTGCCTGCACCAGCACAGCCACTGCTGCCTTGTGGGTACTTTTTCCACATTCAGGACTTTTCTCTGTCTCCCTCCCAGCCCTCTGAGACCCATCTTTAAGCAGAGTTTCTGGCTGTCACTTGCAGCCCCCAAGCCCGCTGTGGGTGTCCCCACGGCCACTGAGCTCAGCAGTCCCTGCAAGCCCAGGGCTATGGGAGGGGGGAGGACGTACCTTCCTGCGGAGCGTTCGTGTCCCACACAGACCACATCTGCACAAAGAAAAAGGGAGCCCAGCACACTATGAAAGCTAACACTATGATGAAGGTCATTTTGACCGTCCGGATCTTGGCTTTGGAGATGAGCCTGATGCTGCTGACCCTGGCAAACGCCATCCCGCTGCAGGAGCTGGAGCTCAGCCCCACGTTGGGCCCGTGAGCCATCTTAAGCTTCACGTTCTGCCAGATTTTGAAGCTGATCAAGCCGTAGCAGATGCTCAGCATCAGCACAGGGATGATGTAGACCATGAGGGTTATCCAGGTGACATAGGCTTTAGGTCCCCAGGGCTGGATGAAATCTGCCCAACAGTCATAAACCCCATTCCCCACATCCCTCAGAGAAAATATGTGGATCTGCGGGATGCTGACCAGCAGGCACAGCAGCCAGGTGAGGAGGACGGAGACCCGGTCCGCTCTCCTGTGCAGGGACCTCAGCGGCTGACAGATGGCCAAACACCGGTCCAGCGACATCAGCAACAGCATGTAGGTGGAAGCGAACATCCCCACTACCTGCAAGTACTTGATCAACCGGCAAAGGAAATCTGGCCCATAAAACCTGAAGGTGATGTCCCAGATGAGCTGGGGCAGCACCTGGAAGATGGCCACGACCAGGTCGGCGATGCTCAAGTGCTTCATGAAGAAGTACATGCGGGAGTGCTTCTGCCGGGTGGTGTGGATGGCCAGCAGCACGCACAGGTTGCCGGTCAGGGCGAGGAAGAGGATGAGGCAGAGCACCGTCACCTCCACCTTGGCCATGTCCTCGTTCCTCTTCAGTGGGTCCGTGGTGCTGTTCCTCCCGGAGCTCTGGTTCTCCAGGTGGAGGCTGCCGTTCCCCAG